CAGATACACAAAATTAATGCATCAAGCCAATTAAGGTGGCACACATCTGTAATCCCAGCAATTTGGGAGGCTGAGGCAGGAGGATCACAAGTTCAAGATCAGCCTCAGCAATTTAGTGAGACTCTGTCTCAAAATAAAAAAAAAATAATAAAAATGGCTGGGGTGGTGTAGCTCAGTTGTAGAGTGCCCTGGGTTCCATCCCCAGTACCAATCAAAAACTCCCCCCACCAAAAAAAATCCACGAAATATGATGGACATTACTTCCTTCTTATGTTGAAACGAAACAAAGCAGATAATCATATAATCCCTGTGGCTCCAGAGGCTGAAGCAGGAGGATCAAAATTTTGAGGCCAGCCTCAGCAATTTAGTGAGTCCCTAAGCAACTTAGTGAGAGATGAAAAATAGAAAGAGCAGGGATGTGCCTCAGTGGTTAAGCACCCTTGGGTTTAATCCCCAGTACCAAAAAGGAGGGGGAGGGGGAGGGGGAGGGGAGGAAGAAGAAGAAACCTAACGACAAAACCCACCATGCCCAGAGCTAAGCAATCCAGCAAACCCGGCCGGGGCTCCTTGTTTCCGAATGGCTATTAGATAGTCAAGTGAGATGTTGGCTGGGTGGATGGGCACGGGGTCTGGAGCTCACTGCAGGGATGGGACTGCAGTCAAACATCCGTGAGTCATCCCTGTGTGCCGCTCAGAGCCTGAGTGTCTTCCTGGGGACCAAGGCTGAGCTAAAGACTTCAGTAATGCTGGGGGCTCAGATGACATCCAGGAGTGGATGACCCCAGCCCATAGACAGGCCCCTTGTCTCCTGCAGTATGCCCCCTAGGCCACTGGGGAACCAACTGTGCCCAGGCTTGCCAGTGTCACCACGGTGGGACCTGCCACCCCCAGAATGGAAGCTGCATCTGTGCCCCAGGCTGGACCGGACTCCATTGCTTGGAAGGTACCAACAGAAGGGGTACCGTGCCCATGCCCTGGCCAGACAGGAGGCCAAGTTACTGACCTCTCGGCTCCCGTGATCCGGTTTGCTCTGGCTCCCTCCCCAGGCTGCCCCCCAGGGGTGTTTGGTGCCAACTGCTCCCAGCCATGCCAGTGTGGTCCAGGAGAGCGGTGCCACCCAGAGACTGGCGCCTGTGTGTGTCCCCCAGGGCACAGTGGTGCACCTTGCAGGATTGGTGAGTTCTGAGCCTCCCATACCCTCCCTGTCCCCAGGGAACTAGGACCCAGCGCCCTCACCCCTGCCCTCCTATTGGGCGCCCCTCCCATGCTTGCACCCAAGCTCACCAGCAGGGCCTAGATGCCCCTCCAGGTGCTCTTCCCTGTCACACAGGGAGCCAGGAGCCCTTCACCATGATGCCTACCTCCCCTGTGGCCTATAACTCACTGGGCGCAGTCATCGGCATTGCAGTGCTGGGCTCCCTGGTAGTGGCCCTGGTGGCACTGTTCATTGGCTACCGCCATTGGCAAAAGGGCAAGGAGCACCAGCACCTGGCGGTGGCCTACAGCACTGGACGGCTGGATGGCTCCGAGTATGTCATGCCAGGTGAGCTGGCCCAGGGCCCCAGAGGAGTGGTGGGCAGAGGGGGTGTGGGGCATGACTCCACGGGAGGAGGGAGGACGGGAGACGGGAGGCCGAGTTACTGACCTGCTGGGTAGATCAACTCCAGGGCCCCTGGCCCATCTCCCAGCGCCCCCTGCACCTGTGTCTGTCCTGCAGATGTCCCTCCAAGCTACAGTCACTACTACTCCAACCCCAGCTACCACACCCTGTCCCAGTGCTCTCCGAATCCCCCGCCCCCTAACAAGGTCAGTGCTGGGGGAGGGGACCAGCCATGGGGGCTGGCCGCAGGCCTGGTTCTCTGGAAAGCCCTGTCCTTGTGTGCCCCTCAGGTTCCAGGCAGTCAGCTCTTCGCCAGCCTCCAGGGACCCGAGCGGCCAGGTGGAGCCCACGGGCATGACAACCACGCCACCCTGCCTGCTGACTGGAAGCACCGGCCTCTGGACAGGGGTAGGCTCCTGGGGAGGCTCACCAGCTGGCTGCCCCGTCTGAGTGTGTGGGAGGGAGGCTCAGGCCCAGGCTCCCGAGGAGCCTGGAGCTGGGGAGGACACCGGAGGCTGGTTGCCAACTGCCTCCCTCTTCTCAGGTGGCAGTCGCCTGGATCGAAGTTACAGCTACAGCCACGGTAATGGCACAGGCCCCTTCTATAATAAAGGTATGGGCAAAGGGGCAGAGAGGGAGGGGCTGAGCTGGGCAGAGGCTCCAGTGACGCCATCCAGCCTGACTTCTGCCCTCCATACTTAGGGCCCATCTCTGAAGAACAGCTGGGGGCCAGCATGGCTTCTCTGAGCAGTGAGAACCCCTATGCCACCATCCGGGATCTGCCCGGCCTGCCAGGGGGCCCCCGGGAGAGCAGCTATGTGGAGATGAAAGGCCCTCCCTCAGGGTCTCCCCCCAGGCCTCTCCAATTCCGGGACAGCCAGAGGCGGTGGCACCCACAGCCACAGAGAGACAGTGGCACCTATGAACAGCCCAGCCCCCTGACCCACGGTGAGCACTCCCTCTCCCCTGGTGCAGAGGCAAGGAGGTGGGGGTGGTGGGAGAAGGGACAGAGGGAAACCATGGGGAGGCCGCCTGATGGAGCTATGCAAGAGTAAGATGCTTGGGTCAGACTTGGATGACGTTGGGGAAGTCACCTTGACACTTAGAGCCTGTTCCTCACCTGTAGCCTATCTACCTCGAAGGCAGAAGATGTGAAATGGTGGTTGTGTAGCACCTGGGAGGGGGATTTGGGACCCAGAACAGTGGAGGCCAAGTCAGGTGACAGAGCATGCTCAGATCCTGCAGGGTGGGCAGGCTGAGGTGGCCTGCCCCCTAGTGGCTGGGGCTGGCACAGCTGGGGATGGGAGGCAGGCCTCTGTCCAGGCACCATCCATTAGCTTCTGTATGGGCAGAAGAAGAAGCTGGAGGTGGGAGGATAGAAGTCGGAGGTCAAAAAGCCATCTCCCTCTCATCCTGGTCCCTTGTCTCCAGATCAAGACTCTGTGGGCTCCCTGCCCCCACTTCCTCCAGGTCTGCCCCCCGGCCACTACGACTCACCCAAGAACAGCCACATCCCCGGACACTATGACTTGCCTCCAGTACGACACCCCCCATCACCCCCACTCTGGCGCCAGGATCGCTGAGAAGCCAAGATGGTATGGCAGAGGCCAGCACACCTGACCCTTGCTGCCCAAGGCTGGGACAGCCCTGTGAACCCTGCCAGGAGCAGGGAGTGGACTGGCAGGCCATGGCGTCGAACACTTAATGAAGGAAGTGAATGGCGAGGCAGGAGCCTCCCTCCCAGGTCCCATCGGGGAGACGCTGTTTGGCAGGATGCCTGGTCCCTTCCCCCCGCTGCTGCTCCGCAAGGCCTTGGGGCCCTGTGGACATAAACTTGTGGGTTGAATGTCGTTGGGTGACTCTGATTTCAAAAACAGGTATTGAGTATCATTTCTGTGCACACGTGGGCTGGGCTGTGTGCATGCATGTGTGTGTGTGTGTGTGTGTGTGTGTGGCTTAACAGGGGTACAACTCCTACCCCTGGGTCCTGCCCTCAGGCCCTCACCAGGTGGCCAGCAGGCAGCCACCCCCCATTAGCTCCAACAGAAGCCTTGCTGCTGGCTCCCGGCATTCACTGGGTGGTTCCTCCATCCTGCTGCAGAAGTACAAGCAGGTGGGCCACTCCTTGCCCGCAAGTCGTCATGTCTTCCTGGGTGTCCCTCTGTTTTTTGAGTCAGAATCAGAGCTTTGGAAGGCCTCAAAGGTCCTGCTGCCTGGCCTGTCCCTTCAGCCTCACCCAGAAATGTGCCCACGGTGGTCACTCTCCTCCAGTTACACCTTTAGGTCTGCTGTCTGCCGTGCCTCATTCCACCCCAGGGGCTGGCACACCAGCATGCTTTTCTTCCCCCACCTCTTGGCTCCTACTCCTCCTTCACACTCCACCCAGCCCTGGTCTCTCTCCTTTATAGCATTGATGGCAACTGTCTTCATTCTCCAGGTACCAGCAGAAGGCTTCCAGGATGCCAAGCACCCTGTTATTTCTTAATGTGTTATTTCCTCATATGGTTATTGGATTAATTTCTGCCTTCCTCACAAGATTGTAAGCTCTCTGAAGGCAAGATTCCTGTTTATGTTCTATATTGGGTCCCCTTGGCACATAGTAGACACTCAATAAATGATTCCCTTTGACTGAGTGGCTGATTGAATAAAAATACCAGTGACACTTTGGAAAGTACCAACAATGGTAAATTGTTTGTTCTGCAAGTAAATGGGCTGTTTAGGTCCTAGTCTTCCCCAAAGGGTGAACTTCTACAGGGGATGGGCTGGGGCGGAACAGAGGAAGGGGACAGGAAAGTATATACTTCAAGGGGGCTCAGCAGGCGATGGTTTGAGTTCTAGATTCCAAGGATGTGGTCATCTCATCAACTCATTAGCTGACTGAATCCCCAGGGGTCCGGGAGGCTAAATAGATGTGTTGGAGAAGAGAAACCCAACCTCACACCCACGGGGCGGGGCCTCTGGGCCCTTTCCGCCAGGTGTTCTCTCCTTATAGGATAGGTAAGCGGACCCAGGAAAGTGGACCTGCTCCCACCATGGACTCTCCCTTCTTTAGTGTCCTCCCACTGCCATGAGCTCCATTGTGCCGTCCAGTCCCTGTTCCCGGGGCTCGATTCCCGGGTGACTTTGCCTTACCTTGAGCCCGCCCTATCCCGGGCGCTCTGGTTCGGTGTAGGATCCCCGGGTCTGTCTGTCCTGGCCCCTCTCCCTTCGCAGCGATCCCTCCACGCCGGGTCCTCTAGGGTTCACCTGCGCCTGGCGTTGCGCATCCCCCGGGTCCCGCAGTTCCCTTTCTGCTCTAGCCCCGCCCCTCCGCTCCGACCCAGCGGGCCCCGCCCACCCGACTTTCCCTCCGCTGGCTCGGACTTGCGGCGCCCTCTGCCGGCCGCACTGTGCTCGGCACTGCCCCCGCCGCTCGCCCGCCGGCCGCGCGCGGTTGTCCTGGAGAGCGACGCGAAGGCTCGGCCTCAACAGACCTCGGATTCAGGCATCCCCAGGCTGCGCCCCAGGGTCTTGTATCTTCTTCCCGCCCGGACGAGGGTCCCAGAGGCGCCAGCATGTCCAGCGAGCCAAGCGCGCCGGGAGGCTCACCCAGGACCCCTCGTCCTGGGACCCAGAAGTCGTCCGGTTCGGCGACCAAGAAGGGGGAGCGCTCGGTCAAGGAGAAGCCGCCGGCCGTGCTGCCGCCGGTGGGCGAGGAGGAACCCAAAAACCCCGGTACGCTGGCGGCGGGGCTGGCGGCTCTGAACGTCCCACCGCCACTTGTGGCTGGGTTGGCCTCGCTGGGCTCCGAGTCTCGGCTCGGGAGGTGGTCAGTGGAACGTGGTCTTGAAGATCCCACTCTAGTTCGGGATGCTGACCAGAACAACATGGTAAAAGCCAGGAGCTTGGCGCACCCCTGCAATTGCAGCGACTCGGAAGGAGGGGGCTGGGGCTGGAGGACTGCAAGTTCAAGGTCAGCCTCTAACAACTTAGAGTTGTGTTGTTGGTAAAACAAAGAGCGGGGATGTAGCCCAGTGGTAGAGAACCACTGGGTTCAATCCCCAGTACCCCTCCCCCACATGCTGGTGCCTCTGGGACCCTCTTGGGCGGGAAGAGGATACAAGACCCGGGGGCGCAGCCTGGGGATGCCTGAATCCCTCCTCACAGGTCCTCTTTCTGCTGCAAGTGATAGAACCCCAACCCAAACTAATTAAGCACAAAAGGGAATTTATTGGAAGGCTCCTTGATACAATTTGACAGCTTTACTGTAAGAGAGGGACTTGCTGTCCCTGGGATGGAGGTAAAACAACTTGGGAAAGGCCTTGATGGTCTAACCTTGCCAGGTGCCATCTCCTTGTCAGAGCTAGTTGTGGGGTTAGGGGAGGGGGTATGAGAGCCGGAGAAGAAGCATATTCCAGAAAGGAACACAAGATAGGAGATAGGATAGGATCCCCTGGTTACATTAAACACACACACACACACACACACACACACACACATACGGCTGCTATATGGAGAATAGAGCAGAAGGGGCAGCGAAGAGCTTCAGGGAGATGGGTTAGGAGACAGCCCGGTCCAGGAACAGGGGTAGTTGGGAGGCAGTAATGGTGGAGAGGAGTGGATGGGTCAGGCTTCTCGGGGTGGAAGTAATAATTTGGCCAAGGACTGGATAGGGTGGGGAGTTAGGAACACAGCAACAATCGTTCTCAGGGTTCTGGACTGGGAGCTGGGTGAAGGGAGGTGCCACTCTTGGAGAAGGGACAGCTGGAAGGAAGGGGCATGCCAAGGAGGGCCCCCAAGGGGTGAAGTCATCGAGGCAGCTGGACACGGGGGTCTGCAGTGCTGAAGAGAGCTCAGGGCGGAGAAGCATCTTTGGGAGCTGCTAATGTCTCAGCATGGTTAAGCCGTGGGAAGTGAGAGAAGTAGAGAGGAAGGAGGGAGTGTAACTAGAGGAGAGGACTCGGACACAGCCCTATGTGGAGAAGGAGGAGCTGGTGCGGGATCCCTAACGGCTTTGACCCAGAGGTATGAGGGCATGGGGACCCTGGGTAAAGAAACAAGCAGGTTACCATGATCGGTCGCACCCTGTTGTGCTCTGGTGAGGGCAGATGTGGGGCTCAAATGGGGTAGGGTGCAATGGCTGATGTAGGAAGGTATATAGGTTTAGAGAAAATCCTATCCAATAGCTTCTATTTTTCAAGAAGCTATAAGGCAAAGTCCTTATGGAGCATGAAGAGGGGGTGTGGGAGGGGAGGAGGAGAGGAGCCATCATCACCCTCTAGTAGGGTACCATTGACTAAAATGCATTTCTACCATCGCATGGTTGGTTTTATCTTTTTCCTTTGGTGGGGTGGGGGGGTGCTAGGGATTAAACCTAAGGTTTTGTCACATGCTAGGCAAGCAAGCTGTCTTCTATTGAGGTACATCCCCAGCCCTGTCACTTGAAATTCTATGGGAGAACCCATGTAATCAGAATCTCCGGGGATGGGACCCAGGAAGCTGTTTTAACGGGCTGTCTACCTGGTGCTTTGTAAAAAGATTAAAGTTTGATGATCTCTGTTCTTGAGAAACGGTGTATAATGAAGCAAGGGGTTGCCCTCCGCACAGTTTTCAGCCTGGGAATGAAGAGAGGCTGTCTGATGGGGTCACCCCCACCTCCCTATGCCTTCTCTTGGCACTTGGTGCACTGGGCTGACATTGCCTGTGCCTGGGGACAACGTGTCTCTCTCACCCCTTCCCCACTGAACCCAGGAGCCTCAAACTTCTCTGCATCGCACTGCACTATCCCTCCACACCCTAGGGGCAGGCTACCTACTGCTCGGCCATAGGAGTCCCTCCAGGGCACCTTTCACATCCTTTCGTCTCCCTGCTGTGAGCTCTTGCTTTCACCACTTGCTTTCAACTGTTCTCGGCATTGGTCTTTATAACAGGGCTTACTTTTAAAAACAGCTCTAAAGATGGGATCCCAGGTAGGGCGGGCTCCTGGCTTACCCCTCTAATCCCAGCCACTAGTCAGGCTGAGGCAGAAGGATGACAAGTTCTAGGTCAGCCTCAGCTTCCTTCAGCGTCCCCCCACTCCCTCCAGCAGCACCTGCTGCTACTGGCCTGGATGGTGTTGCCGTGGGACTCCAGGTTGGTGGCACGTGGTAGGGACATCTCTTCCATCTCCATGAATTTCTTCCTGGATTATCCATTGGGAGAACTGAAAACAGCAGGGATCTCATGGGGACTCAGTCACCTTAGGTTTGCAGAGCCCTCGGGACAGACAAGGTGGACATATCTGAATTAATGTAACCCAGGAATGTGTTAATGTTTCTAAAGCCTTTAGAACAGCACGGAACACTAGGAATGCCATACAGTGTTTGTTAAACAAGCATGCGGCGCTGCTAGACCTCCTTGTACATATAAGGGAGAGGACGGGGGGGGGGGGGGACGGGATTTCACATAAGGCTTGGACTTATGTGAGTGTCCACAGCAGTCCCTGCAGGGAAGGAAGACAGGGTGGAGCCTGGGCTGTGGACACCCTGTGGAAGGAAGCACACTGCTCTCCCAGGGAAGCTCCTTGGCCCAGGGGGTGAGTGGAAGGAACCAGCACATAAAAGGTGTCTGGGGCCTGGCGCGTTGGCGCACGCCTGTAATCACAGCGGCGCGGGAGGCTGAGGCAGGAGGATCGCAAGTTCACCACCTCAACTTAGCGAGGCCCTAAGCAACTTAGCGAGACCCTGTCTTTAAATAACATGTAAACAGGGCTGGGGATGTGGCTCAGGGGTTAAGTGATCCTGGGTCCAGTTCAATACAAAAACCAAACCAAAACCGCGGTCTCAGAGCAGCGCCACCCGCAGGCCTGAGGGCGTGGGAACCCGGGCCTGGGGGCGGTCCCTGGAGGGGTGGAGGCTCTCTGCTGCCCTCTAACGGTGCGCGGGCGCTGAAGCCTGAGGGCGGGCGCTCTCCCCCTCCGCAGAGGAGTACCAGTGCACAGGGGTCCTGGAGACTGATTTCGCGGAGCTCTGCACGAGACTGGGCTACACAGACTTCCCCAAAGTTGTCACCCGCCCCCGCCCCCACCCGACCTTCACCGCCTCGGCCTCCATGTCAGAAAAACCCACCTCAGGTGAGTGGCTGTGGCGCCCAGAGGTGCCTGCCAGGGCTACCGTCCATCGCGAGCCTCCCATCGCACCGGGGCGGAAAGGCGCGGGCGCAGGTGGCGTGGGTGTCTGTGCACGCCCAGGGCAGGGGCTCGGCGCGGCGGGGAGCTGGCGGGGTGTCGTCCGTCTTCCAAGTCTCGGCAGAGCCTGGCCTGGCCAGAGAAACTGCGCCCCGGTCAGCGGTGCTCTTCGCCCCCGCCGGTCTGTGGAGGGTCTCCCGGCCTCGGGGCATGGGTGCTGTCCTCTCCCTCCTCACCCTGCCTTCTAGACGACCAGCGACTGTCGGCGTCCTGCAGCCTCAACAGCCTGGAAAGCAAATACGTGTTCTTCCGGCCCACGATCCAGGTGGAGCTGGAGCTGGACGACAGCAAAGCGGTGAAGGAAATCTACATCCGCGGTGAGCCCCGTCCCTGCGCGCCCCGTCCCTGCGCGCCCCGTCCCTGCGCGCCCCGTCCCTGCGCGCCGCGTCCCTGCGCGCCCCGTCCCTGCGCGCCCCGCCCCGCGGCACCTTCCTCCTCTCTCTTCGCAGGTTGGAAGGTTGAGGACCGGATTCTGGGTATCTTCTCCAAATGTCTGCCCTCGCTCAGCCAGCTGCAGGCCATCAAGTGAGCGTACTGGGGACGGAGGGGGGGCGGGGAGGGCTATGGAGACTGGGGCTCCTGGTGGCTTGGAAGAGAGAGCAGAGGGCTGCTGAAGTCCCCGGGGACTGTAGGAAACTGGGAGGGTACTACTGCAAGGAAGGGTGTGGTTGGAAGGACTGTGAGTAGGGGTTTCAGCAGGTGACCTCCAGCTGTTTCTGTTCTTCCTGCCCATTCAGCTTTTGGAAGGTGGGGCTGACCGATAATACCCTGACCACCTTCATCGCCCTCCTGCCTCTCTGTTCATCCACGCTCAGGTCAGCACTGGGGAGAGGCCGCCACGCCTGGGGAGTCTGGCTGGGTGGGCCAAGATGGGGAGTTTGGGTGCAGAAGTCGCAAGTCCCAGCCCTCATATGCCTGGGTGGCATCCCAGGGAAAGCAGGGCTCTGCCAGTGTGTGCTGGATCAGGAAACTCCCAACGGACAAGAAGTCCTGTTTCAGCCTACACCAGTATCCAAACAGCCCAAACTTTGGGCCTCACTCCGTTTCTGCCAGTCCTGCTACCCTCTACCCTTCCAAGCCATCTCTCTTGTTCCCTAGCCCACGATTAGGCTTCAGGAATAAATACTGCAGGGCAGTGTAGGGACTGTGCAGGGGGAGGGGTGGTTGGGGGTGGCAGGAAGAAGCCCACCCACCTTATGAGTGAGGGGCAGGAAGAGGTGGAAGGCTGCCTTCCAGGGTGACACTGAGCTGAGCCCTGGAGGACTAGGTGCAAACCAGGCCAGGCTTTAGGAAGGGGCATTCCTGCACAGGAAGGCGCAGGAGTGAGGATGGGGTGGCAAGGGGTGAGGGTGTGGTGAGCTAGTGTGACTCCAGGTGTGGTTTGGTGTGCAAAGGAGAGCTCTCACTCTGCTGCTGGCCCCTTCAGAAGGCTTCCACAGCACCCTTGACTTTTCTTGCTTCAAAGAACATTCCCTTCAGTGCTACATACACACAGCGCTGCCATGACTTCCTCTTGGGGATGGGATGGACATTCCTGTTGAGGACGGGGACTATGTCTTCTTTTTTTTATTTAAAAATTTTATACATACACATATTTAGTTGTCGATGGACACAGTACCTTTTATTTATTAGTTTTTAGGTGGTGCAGAGGATTGAACCCAGTGCCTCACACTTGCTAGGCAAGTGCTCTACCACTGAGCCACAACTCCAGCCGTTGGACTTTGTCTTCTTCAGTGGGGCTCCCAGCAGTCTTTGTGTAGCACATTGTGAACACACATTTCAGCTGGGCTGGGGATGTGGCTCAGTGGTTAAGCATCCCTGAGTTCAATTCCAGGTACAAAAAAGAAAAGAAAAGAAACATACATTTCATTCCATCATGGGAACTAGAAACACTTTAGCTGGCAAAGAAAGAACCATAGGAATTTATTATGCAAGGATAATTCATGCCAGCACAAAAATAATTAAAAATGAATTCAGTTTTGAGGTAGAGCACTTGCCTCGCACGTGCGGGACCCCAGGTTCAATCCTCAGCACCACATAAAAGTAAATAAGTGAAATAAAAGTATTGGTCCAACTACAACTAAAAAATAAATATTAAAAAAATGAATTCAGTTTATGAGAAAAGACAAGGAAGCCTACAAGACTTAGCAAAAACTACAGATCACGGCCAGGCATGGTGATGAATGTCTACAATCCCAGTGGATCAAGAGGCCGAGGCAGAGATTCACAAGTTCAAGGCCAACCTGGGCAACTTAGGGGGACCCTGTCTCAAAAAAAAATTTTTTTTAAAGGGCTGGGGATGTAGTTCAGTGGTAGCGCATCCCTGGGTTCAATCCCCAGTACTAAGGGGGAAAATATTACGGATCCTGGAAGATGCTATAAAAAGATCCTGGAAAATGCTTAAATAGAGAAATTTCTAGACATTGATTCAATTTTTTGTTGTGACTTAGGAAAAAGACCTTTTTTTTTTTCTGAAAAGCTATTACCCTGAATAGGGGTCATGTAGTAATTTATTACTACGTGTAACAAAGTAACCCCCAAATTTAGTGGCTTAAAATGATAAGAATTTATTTTAACAATGTCCCTGAGATCATCTTGGTGTAGATTCCTGGGTGCTTCTGGCTCAGGGTCAGTCTTGAGGTGGAAGAGGAGCTGTTGACTGGTTGTGGTCATTTCAAGGTGAGCTAGGCAGAGAATCTGCTTTCAAGCTTGTTGATGTGACTGATTTCATTGGGCCTCTCCAGAGGCTGTCTGAGTGTCCTCAAGAGAGAGCAGTTGGTGACAGTGCCAGAGAGGACCAAGATGGAAGCCATCATCGTTGTCACCTAAACTCAGAAGTGACATACCATCGCTTCTGTCATATTGTGTGCATTTTAAGGGATTCACTGGGTCTAGTCATACTAAAGGGGAGAGCATTACACAGGGCCTCACTACCAGGAACTGAGGATTTTTGAAGGCCATCTTAGAGAATACCTTACCACAGGTCAACTTTGGGGAATGACCTTTTCACATGGCCACATTCCTGGGTTTTTAGTCCGAGGAAGTATCACATATATTTTCTAAATTGATGGGGGCGGGGGTGGGGCGGTATCCTTTGGCTCTGTTTCCTGATTGCTCTCCAGAGATCCCAACTTCCTGTCCACCCCCCTTCTTGCCTGGCCTCGATGGCACCTACTGGTTCTTGGATCTCTCCCACCTTAGGAAAGTGTCTCTGGAGGGGAATCCGCTGCCGAAGCAGTCATATCACAAGCTCATGGCGCCGGACAGCCCGTGAGGTTCCTTGCCCCATCCGCGCCCCCAACTTTCTGTCCCTCATTCCAAGCCATCTTAGCCCCCACCTTTCCATGTCCTTCCAGCACCTCCCCCAGGAGTCCCCAGTCCCTGCTCCTTGGTCTTGATTCCCAAGAGCGCCCCTGGCACCCGTGTTTGCAGCGACCTCTCTGCTGCAGGATCGCCCACCTGTCTCTGCGGAACAACAACATCGACGACCACGGGGCGCAGCTGCTGGGCCAGGCGCTGTCCACGCTGCACAGCTGCAACCGGACCCTGGTCTCGCTCAACCTGGGCTTCAACCACATCGGGGACCAGGGCGCGTGCTACCTGGCAGACGTGCGTGGGCTGCGGCGCGGGGGCTGCTCGGCGCGAGGTGGCGCCGCGGCTCACCAGCGCTCGGCCTCCGCAGGGGCTCCGGCTGAACCGCTCGCTGCTCTGGCTGTCCCTGGCTCACAACCGCATCCAGGACAAGGGCGCTCTGAAGCTGGCCGAGGTGGGGTTCTCGGTGGGTTGGGGCCGGGGAGGCCGACACAAATCTTCCCGGAGGACAGCGTCTGACGGTGCTGGCCGCGTCCCAGGTCCTGCGTCCCTTCGAGCTGACACACACCGAGGTGGTGGAGCGCCGGCGCCTCCTGCTGGAGAAAGGGACGCAGGAGCGGTCGCGATCGGTGAGGAGCCCCCCAGCCCCAGAGCGATCTGAGAGTCCGCTTCCCAGCTGGGAGGACCTCCGCTCTCGGTCCTCCCTCCCTGCACTGTGACGGTCCTTCTCTCCGAAGCTCAGCTCTAGGCGCACAGGTCTAACTAGGGTTCGCCAGGCCCCTGCCTGAGGGCTCCAAATGCAGAATGTATGGGTCGAGGGAAAGGATACTAGATTGACTGTCTGGGACCTGAATCTAGCTCAGCCACATACCTACCAGTCTGCGACCTTGGACATGTTACTTACCCTCCGTGCCTGTTTTCACATCTGTAAGTGGGAATAATTGTGCCTATCTCCTAGGATTGGGAGCATTAAATGAGCTTATTCATGTAAAGCATTTGGAATGGGGCCTGGCACTTAGCTCAAGAAAAGCTAGACTCTGTTTCTCCCTCAGTATGGGATCCCTTACCTTGACTCTCAGCTCATCCCCACCCATACCTCTGCTCTTCGCACCCCAAACTCCTCAACGCAGGGGAAAGAACATCAGGGGAATGTTTCCAGCATTTAGGAAGAAAGGTGGGCGGTGGGTGGGGTGCTGTCTGCCCAACTGCTACCCAGGCTTGGGCTTCTCCTCCATTCCCTGTCGCTGGCGGGCTCCAGTGGCTTCCTCTGCCCCTTTCCATTTGTCAACATAGCCCTCCTCCTCTCGACATGGGGACTTCAAAGCAGACCGTGACAAGGCTCAGGCGCTGGGGATGACCTCTGTTGCATTGATGGACAAGTCAGAAAAGATGCAGGCAATGAAAGCCCCAAAGGGCCTGAGCAAGAAGAAGGAGAAGCCAGGGGTAGGTGTGTTGGGGACAGGCGGCCCGGGTGTTGGGGGGGGACAGGGCAGGATGTGGGTGCTGTTCAGAGGGGCGGAAGGGAGAAGGCCCAGGGGGGCCTTTCAAGTTGCAGCACACCTGCTGTCCGTCTCCCTGGGAGATGGGACTTTCTGTTCTCCTCTCCTCCTCTACAGGAAGTGGTCAAGAAGGAGGAGAAGTCAGGGTCTGGACAGTCGCCCACACAAGGAGCCCCCAAGAAAGAAGACGCTGCCAAGTCAGGCAAGGGGAGTAAGTGTGAGGCGCTCTCGGGCCCCTTCCCTGCGGGAGGGTGCGCTGGGCTGGATGCGAGGGCACTTCTTGGCCTGGACGTGTCTGCCAGGACTTGGTCTTGCCTCTCTCCCTCTCTCTTTTTCCTTCTCACAGCAGGGTGATGTGGGGGGCTCCATGGCCCAGACATCATGACGGCTCATTTCTTTGGGGCTGGACCTTTGAGGACCTGTCCTCAGCAAAGGACTGTACCCACCTAAGGGGCCCCTTCCGGCTGCCTTGATTGCACCCAAAGTTCTGATAGTGGGCCTCACTTGGTCCACCCTCTGGGGAGCGGGTGGTATCAGGGATCTGCTTTGTGCAGCCTCGCTCCTTCTCTGGCCCAGAGGTCACCATCCCTGAGCAGAAGCAAAGCAAGGGGAAAGGGACCAAGGTGGGGAGCAAGGAGAAGCGCAGCATTCTTCTGGAGTCCGAGGTGAGCTGCCCGAGAGGTGGGGTTGGGCTTTCCCCGGGCTTCCACCCCAGCTCCTCCCAGAACGGGGTTTTTCAGCCCTGTACTGTGGCAACGGCCACTTTCTCTTCAGACGTGGTCCTCTTCTCCCCCTTTCCACCATGGGCCTGCTCTCTGGGAATAATGGGCTCAGTGCTTCCCTCTCCCCTCCCAACTTGGGCACCCCCTCTCCCTTTCCTTTCCTTGTCTGATAGTAGTCCACATCTTGATCTGTCTTCCCAACGGAGGCTGCCTCCCTAAAGGCCACCCGCTCACCATCACCACCCCCACCATTAGCTTGCACACTTGCGTAAGGAGCAAAATGTGTTCTCTCTGGCCCTCTCAGCGGCTCCCAGGGCACTTTGCAGTCATGACACTGCCCCACCCCCCCTCGGCACGGCTCCTCCTCCAGACCCTCTCTCCTTTGCCCCTGGGTCTTCCCTCTCAACTTGGATCAGCCTGCTCCCTGCTTCACGATCATCATGGGCTGCCAACTTAGCACCTCCCAGTTCTTCTGTCAGCTGCCTGAGGGTCTCCTCCTCAGACTCCCTCAACACCGCTCTATACTGTCTAGGCAGGGAAGGACCCGGTCAACTTTAGGATTCTTCCCTGGCACCAAGACAAGCTCTTACAGAAGAGGTAGCGAGACTTTGGTTTCTGCGGAGTCTTGGGCTGGCCCTGTTCCTCACCAGGTGTTATATACCTTCACGTGTCAGCTCACCAGCCACCTCTTGTAGGAGGCTGTTCCTGGCCCCCGAGACTGGTCTAAATGCCCCACCTCTTGGCTCCCATGGCACTCCAAGCTTACCTGTGTTAGGTGCTCTGCTCTACTGCACTCCAGTTTCACTCTCTGGCTCCCGACACTGCAGAGCTTCTGGAGGGTATATTTATCTTTGTGTCCCCAGCACCAAGGACAGAGCCTGGACTTTTTTTGTGGTGCTGGGGATTGAACCCAGGGCCTTGTGCATGTGAAGCAAGCACTCTACAAACTGAGCTACATCCCCAGCCCTCAAAACATATATGTTGAATGAATGAATGAATGCCTGTTGACCAGCTCCCCTCTCCTCTGCTGCAATTAGTATCTACTTTAGCAGCTGGTTGCTGAAACTACTGAGATGATCAACCCTCTCCTGGAGCCCGTCGAGCACCGGGATGGGAAGGTTTTTATGCCTGGGAACAAGGTCCTTTTGCACCTCAACCTCCTCCGTATGTTTGCTGACCTCCCCTGCCCCATGCCATGGGGTTGGCTGCTTGGGTACCCATGCTGGTTCCCTGGGGGTGTACCTGGTTCTCCCACAGTTGGGCATCGAGTCTCGCATGGGCCAGGGAGGGAGTGGAAGTGCTGGGTCAGGGAGGAGGCTGAGGATATTGAGAGGCAGATGGAGGGAAGGGGGTGTAAAGGGTGGAGGGAATTCAGACAAGGAATAAGGGGGGCTGGGCTCAGGGAAAGGTGGTCTTAGGGTGAGTCTGGGGATGAACAGTGGAGGAGCCAGGTTGTGGAGGCGGGTGGTGTAAGAGGCACAGTCTGTACTTTCCACCAGGAAACCGCATCACAGAGGTGGGGCTGGAGGCCTTCCTGGCCACAGTGCAGTACCAGGTGCAGTTCAAGTCCAAGAGCATGTCCAAGGGCCCAGTGGGGCTGCTGTGGCTGTCTCTGGCGGTAAGTCCCTGTCCCTGTCTCGTGCCATTGTTGCAGGCAACTTCTCCCTCCTGATTCCTGATCCAAGGAAGGTCTGCAGTCCCCATTTTTTTTTTTTTTAATTACAACATAACTTCTGACCCTCCCTGTGGCGCTTTGGTACAGGGGATTGAACCCAGGGATCCTTTACCACTGGGCGACACCCCCAGTTCTGAGAATTAACTAGTCCCAGAGGACTAATTTTCATTCTTGTCAGCTGTCACTCTTCCTTTTCCTCTCCTAGAAAAACTGCTTTGACCCACAGTGTCCCATGTATACTACGATCCAGGAGCTGATGCTGCCAAGAGACCCCATCAAGACCAAGATCAGGGAGGAGGAGGTGGTGGCTTTCCCTACCTAGCCCTGCTCCGCAGTCTTCCCCGAGCCTCGGCCACAGAAGCACCTCCTGGCCCTGTGTGGACTGACCTCTCCAGGGGAGACCTGGGACCACTAACAGTCTATTGCTGTACTTTTCTTTGACATTGTAAACTTTGTTCCAGAAATACTCAGAATCAGAACAGTGATGGTTTGAATGAGTCTGCAGTTCTGCTGGGGATATCTCAGTCCCTCTGACATCAGGCAGCCAGGGAGTCACTCCTCTGGCTCCTGGGGGCTAGGTTTTGCCCAGGTAGCCCGCTCCCTCTCCAGTGTTCCCAGAAGAGATGTGCTTTGCTAGGAGCTGCATTCAACCTCTGGTGTCGGAGGCAAAGACTTAGGCTTGGTGACGGATGTCATCCGTGGGAGAGGGAGGAGCAGACAGGCGGGGAGGAACTGAACAGGCCAGGCCCCTAGCATACTCCCTCCTGCTTTTCTGACCTGACCGGCCCCGTGTTTGGTTTGGAAGAGGCCGGGGCCCAGTTTAAGAAAGTGCGAAGTCTTGGACAAGCCACCTGGGAGAGATTGCTAAGTATATCAACACCTACACAGTGAAGGTTGGGCATTAAACACGGTAGTCAGCAACTGAAACCAGAGACACTAGGCAGCTGTGAGGGTCCTGGCATGGGCCAACATTGTCCTGGAGTGCCACCTCCACTGAGAATAAATGTGCCCAGAGCACAGGACTGGCTTCTGGGGAGCCTCCTGAGAAGGTACAGAGGTCACACACCTGCCTCATCTGAGTAGCCTGCACCTGCTCCACATCCCTCACTACTTTGCCTCTACTCACCCTAAACTGCCGTCCCACCTGGTGTGTGGCCTTGGCTTTCACAGGGCCCTGCGAGCGCCTGCATCCCTCTTGCTCTATTGGCCCCCACTGCCTGTCTCCAGGAATAACCTGCCATTTCTTTGAGCTCCCACACAGAGCACCTTACCATACGCGATGCTGATCAGCCAGGCCAGCTTCTCTTTACCCCTGCCCAAGGCCTCTGAAGTTCCAGGACCTCTTTCAGCCCTTATCTTTATCTCCATACTTTATTGTTAGTGATGGTTAGTCCTGGTGATGTGGCAGTTGATGGCAGGTGGGGGGAGCTGGCCAGGCCTGAGATGAGCCGCCACTTTGTTTTATATTCCTGCTGTTGAATGAGGGTGGCTCACTGGCTCCCTGGGGTCCCCTGCACTTTGTATGTGTAAACTGAGCTGTGATTGTTTTGGTACTGGGAGATGAAAGCAGGGGTGCTCTACCACTGAGACAGGGTATGAGTTGCCAGGGCTGGTCTTGAACTTGTGATCCTCCTGCTTCAGCCTCCGGAGTTGCTGGGATCACAGGCGCATGCCACAGTGCCCAGCTGAGTTTAGCATGTTTTTGCACCTTTGTTGTAGATGGACACAGTACCTGTATTTACTGTTTATGTGGTGCTAAGGATGGAACCCAGGGCCCCACACGTGCCAGCTCAGTGCGGTACCACTGAGCCATAACCCAGCCCCAGGTTTTTGCGTGCAGGAACTATAACTTACTTTGCCCAGCCTCTGTTCAGGGAGCAGGTATCTGCAGCTCTGGGAGAAAACATGGTAAGGCCTGGATGTGGAGGTTTCAGGGCGAGGGGGACTGCCTCAGTTCCCTCCCTGCATTCCTGGCCAGCCTCAAGGGAGCCTTTTAGGGTAGTAGTTCGAAGAATCACACACACCACAACTGAAGAATATTTAACTTTTCTTAAAAAAAAAAAATCTTAACCATGAAAGGAAGAAAATAAGAGTATACATTATCTTAACAGCAAAACAGTCATTTCCATATCTATATTTTATATATTATATATATATTTATATATATATTTATATATATATATGTAGGTATATATACACCCAGCACAGTGTGTATATTCTATTCAGTGGGATGTGGAGTGAGGACAGGGGCCAGTGCTGCAGTGGCCCCTGGGATGGTCCTGGATTAATTCAGGGTCTCCAGTATTCAAATCCCCAGCCCTTCTCCTGGGGTCCGTTTTCAGCTCCGTACCTGCTACAGGGTTTTCTACAGAGGGAGGCTGGGGATGAGCTGTAGGAAGCAGGGGGAGCTCAGCACCAGGCTGGAGGAGGGGCTCTGGAGCTAAGTGGGGCTGGAGCCAGGAGACCTTCTTGTCCTTTGGGGGACAGTGGTGTGCGGTCTGGTTTAGCTCTGCTTTCAGCCCTGACCCTGGTTGCTGACCAGAGATGCCAGTGAAGCCCCTCTTCCCTTAGCAGTCCCTCTATGACCACCTCCAGCCCTCCAGGGACAGAAACAACAAGGTCAAGTTATTTACAACAGCAAGGATGCACATACAATACATACATATTTATAAGAAACCAAAGTGACAAAGAGGAGGGGTAGGCGCCCTGCTCACTGGGGGGCCTGTGGAGAGGGGAGGGAGAAAGTGCATTCATACAGCAGCCTCCTCCCCTCCTCTCGCCCGTACTCTGAGCGGGGGTCTTTCAGAAGCGGTCAGCATGCTCAGGAGACAAAGGCCTCGGAGGGGTGGGCTAAAGGGAGGGAAAAGACACTGGAACTTGAGTCCGTTCTGAGCAGACCAAGCAACATGCAGCCCCCCAGGCCTCGGCTGATCCGGTTCCTCGATGGCCTTTTCCACAGGAGGCTGGAGGGCTACAGTCCAGGTGATGTGTCTGTGGCGCTATCGTCCAGCGGGGCGTCAAAGCCTGTAGGGGATGGTGAGAGTGAGGAGCTGGCCAGGCCTGAGGTGCCCACCTCTGTGCTTTGTCCACCTGCTTCCTCAGGTTCACCCTTCTGGGCCCTCCACCATGACAAAGCTCTCTTCTCTACAGTCTTGGCTTCTTGTCCGGCCTGAACAGGGGTATCTACCGAGCCCCACTTTGCCATGCCCAAAGCCTCTAGGTCAGGCCGTCGGGGCTTGGCTTTCTTGAGTTGGGACGTGTCTCTGGCCCACCTGCTCGGTTCTGAACCATCTGATGAGAGCACAAGGCTTCAGTTCTGGTTCCCACCTTTAGGGAACTTCTGTGGGCCTCTCTAAAAAAAGCCCTTTCTGAAACCGAGGGGACGAGTGGGTTACACTCAAGGGGAAACAGGACCGCTGCAAACACCTCTCCCACTCCCTGGCCATTTCCTCCTGAGCTGCTGGGCCCCTCCCTCATGGTAGGTCCGAGGCAGGAACTGGCTTCACTCACCGTCCTCAGGGCAGGACCCTGGTTCATGGCTGTTCTGGGAGTCGGAGGCCAGGGCTTCCTTGGCTGGAGGTGAGAGGGAGCTGTCTGTCCACCTGGCTGCCTCTGTGTGGAAACTGCCCACAGGTGTGGTGCCACCAGATGACTCTCCTCCAAGGGACTTCAGTAGCTCTCTGTGGGCCAGTTCCATGTCCTGGAAGAGTTTCAGGGGCAAGATCTGCTAGAGTCCTTCCACTCATAAGGCCGCTGGGGGAAGAAGGTGTCACACTCCCTAATCCAGGCTGGGCCCTGGGGATGGGACTGTGATTTAAGGATGTGGCTGGGTGGACTGAGGCCAGGAAGACACAGACCTCATTCCTAGGGAATGCGTCCCTCACCTTGAGCCTGTTGAGCTTGTGGGTGAGCTGCTCAATGGTGCGGAAGATCCTGCCCACGTCCCTGAGGGCCAGGCTAGGGGGAGAGCGGCTAGAGCGTCTTTGGTCTCCACTGCTTCCCTGCAGCTGGGGCTGAGGCTGTGTCTGCAGGCCAGGGTGGCGATCAGGCTGGGAGGGGCTTGTGGGCGCCCCGGAAGAGTCAGTGCTGGAGTCCAGGGGTCCTGCTGGCATGCTGACATAAAAACAGTTCCCTGTTCCCGCAGCAAGAGAAAGAGATTAGGAGGCACACAGACACATCTAAGCCACCCTCCCGCTCTGTTTCCCATGCCGATAGGCAGAACGTGGCCCCCACACTGCCTGTAAAACCCCTCTCTCTAGATGGTGATTTTGCTTAGGCTGGCCACATGCCAGGAGAAGGAGCTCAGTGGTGAACTAAAGGGAGAAGGGCAAGGCCACAATTTCTTTTGGAAAATGCGAAGAGCTCCCATCCCCTCTTGAAGGGAAGGGGAAGATGTTGGGCTGGTTTTAGATTCTTTTGAAGGGGAGCAGGCAGGGATCTTTTTCACCCTGTCTCAGCTTAAGCTCTGTGGATGAACTTCAACACTGCCCCTGTCCCGTACCTCACCACGTGGGCACCTTGACCCATCCGAGGTCAGAGGCAGCCAGAGGAAGATGGCAGAGGGTCCCTGAAGGCAGCAGGATGGGTAAGCACTGAAGAACCTGGGAGGCTGAGTAGCCTGTTCCCACAGTGGCATGCGGGGGGCTGGGTGGGGCTGCTTGGAGTGCCAGGGCCCTGGGCACTCAGACTTCCTGCCTCGTATCTCAAAAGTCTAGGTGCCAAGCCCATGGTCTGAAAGGGGGCTGGACAGCTCTGGGCGAGTGGTTTCTGAGAGCCGGAGACTGGACTTGATGGTGTGGGATCTATTCCTTGTTTCAGAGCCCACACGCTGCTACCCGCCCATTCCAGACAGTCGAGTGAGTGTGTAGGGCAGCGTGTGTTGGGTGGGGACTGATACCCAAGGTCCAGCTCTTCCCACAGTCCCCTGCTCCAGCCTGGCCTGGCTGTGGCTCAAGGAGAAGGTGATTGATTACCCGTAGCCTGTGATGCGCCTTCCACTTCAGGTGGCTCAGGCTTGGACTGGCCACTCTCTGGTAGTGCAGGGACAACCTTGCTGCCTGCCACCTCAGCTGCACCGCCACCACCACCACCACCACAGAGACAGGAAAGACCAAAACACAAGAACAGGGAAGGGAGAGCAGGAGGAGAGGGAAGAAGTGGGGGTGGCAGAAAACAAGAAAGGGGAAGAACAAAGTGAACACAAGATCACCCACAACCCGTCCCAGGAGGCTGCGGAGGACTTTCCACCACTTCACCAAGAGGAAGAAGGAAGGTCAGTTCCCAGAAACCCAGGAGAGGCAGGAGCAGGAGGCGGAGTAGGCATGGAGGGGGCAGGAGGCCCTGTGGGTGACAGACCTCACTTGTCTTCCTGCCACATGCCCCAGTTCAGCCTCCTCTTTCTGGCAGCTGGCTGTCTCGCCTTGACCTCACAGACCTGGCCTCAGCCCCCTGCAGCTAGCCTCGTCCCACAGCCGTCCATGGGCCG